GAAGGTTACAGCAGGATCGCCACTGGCTTCTATTCTGAGCCATATCTGATAACGTCTCTAGCCACTGTGTTACACCGTCTCTCGGACCCCAGCCAGGGAGTCGTGAAGGACCAACAGAAGCTAGACCTTTGCAGCTTTCTTTCATACCACGACACCATGTCATATACTGACCACCTCTCCGCTTTTCCCAACCAGTCCCAGAGTCGGCAAATAATGCACGACGAGGAATTCTCTGGGACGACATCCGTAGAACATGTCCAAGCCACCGAAGTCGATGTTTCAAGATGGTGACACCAATGGAATTATCCTCTCTGTGACCAAACACACGATGCCGGACCTCTGCATTACTGACATGGTGTTGCCACTGGATGCCAGCAATCCTTCGGAGACAACGATGATCGAACACAGTGAGTCGTCTAACATCCTCAACTCGGAGAGGCCAGGTTTCACAAGCATAGAGCAAAACTACTCTCACCGTCGACCTTTTACAGCCAGACTAACATCACGAAGGCGCCAAAGGTGGCCCAGATCGGCATAAGCCGCTCTGGCTTTCACTATACGTGCATTGATCTCATCACTCACGCCACCACCAGCACTTATGCAGCTACCTAGATACACGAACTTCTCGACCACTTCTATCTGCTCACCGTCCAGAGTGAGTACAGGATTATAATCCTGCCAGTCTTGTAGGAGTACTTTGCACTTCGAAGGTGCGAAGCACATACCATACCTACGGACATTGATTGCCAACTGATTAAGTGCGGATTGCATTGCTTGAACATTCTCGCACAGTAAGACAATATCATCCGCATACTCAAGGTCGAGAAGTCTTTCTCCAGGCAACAGATCCACACCACCATTACTTACATCCATCAGAGCTGTTTCCAGAATGTCATCGATGTCATAGTTGAAAAGGAATGGTGATATTGGGAAACTCTGCCTAACTCCACTGCTTGAATGGAATAGTGGAGAAAGGTGGTTGTATGCCCTCACTCTGCCTGAGGTGTTTGTGTATAGGGCTTTTAGGATGTTAATAAACTTCTCAGGCACACTCTTCTTCAATAGACAATCCCAGAGAACAGTTCTGTCCAACGAATCGAAGGCAGCCCTGATGTCAAGAAACACTACGATTGTTGGCCTTTGATAATTATGGCGGTGTTCTAACACTTGGCGGAGGGTGAAGATATGATCAATACATCCTCGGCCAGTCTAAGCATGTGCTCCAGAATGAGCGACAGTTTTCTATCGAGCCCCTCCATCCGTGGCTGATAGCGATGTGATCTATTTGGGTCCAGCGTTGGGACGAATTAGGGGGTCTCCATGTTAAAAGATGTTTTTCCTTATGCTTAAAGTTAGTATTTGCAAGAAACAGGCGGTTATCTGAGCATAGCTGCAACAGACGGTCACCGTTATCTGTTCTTTGAGCCGCAACACCATAAGATCCACCCAGGTGTCTCCCTTTCGCATAGTTTACCTACTTGAGCATTAAAGTCACCAACCACTATTATTACATCTGAACGCCGCCTAGCTTTTCGGAGAAGGTCGGAAAGCTTTCTGTAAATCTCATCTTTTACATTATCTGAGCTGCAGTTAGTGGGAGAGTAGGCAGAGATGACGAAGAGTCAACGACGAGTGTCCCTATCTTTCCGAGTCCTTACTGTTCCGTTTAGTCGGACAGAACACAAACGACTGTCTACTGGGATCCAGTCTAAGAGATCTAGTTCTTCTTTAGAACTCAATGCTATACCTATGCCAGCAAAGCCACGGGAAGCACCATCAAGACTTCCAGATACACGAAGTGTGAATCGAGTTGGTTCTTTATTTTGACATGGTGCGGTCAAATGAATGACACTACTCGGATCCTGTGTGCGCGTTTCGGAGACGCAGCACATATCGATGGAGCGAGATTCTAAAGTTTTAGCTAAGGAAGCCTGTTGTCCTATTTGGCACAGTGTTCGGACGTTGAAAGCTCCTACGTGTAGTTTAGAGCGTGGTTTCAGGAGACCAGGAATAACGTTCCGTGTACTCGAATCGTTTGCACTAGAGGGGCGAGGTGATAAAGGGACATGAGAAGGGTTGTTCGTGGAGATAAGGGAGTTACTAGGAGGTGTAGGAATGATTTGAATGTGACCAACGTGGTCTCGTGTGCTGTCACGGGTATGAGGGCTGATGTTACTTCCCGGCTGCCCACACTGTGGAAGAGTATTTCTTGAGGAACCTGAAAAGGAAATCGAATTAGTGTTGGCCTTAACGGCCTGGGAGCGTGACCACAAAGCCCAAGGAACAACTGCTTGAGGCCGGTCGCGCACGGACTTTTCGTGGAAGGTTTTCAATGTGTTAGCTCCGTTCTTCAAACGGCCTTACCGCCGGAGACGGAAATCCGTGAGCTAAGGTGAGGTGTGACATTTTTAGGGTCGACCGTTTCTGACCCCTTCCTTCCTTGTGAGAAGGCAGCATCGCTGTAGATGCTGGTTGTCCGAGGGAAACACCTTACTTCTGTCACATCTCTGTACAGTCAGCAGTACGACTTCGCTCTCACAACTTGAGTTGCTGCTTTTAGTCTTACCGTTCACCAATCGACCTGCCTGGCATGGTAGAAACTGCAGGAACATATGTTCCAGCAAATGTAGCTCGGTTGGGTTATCACGATAGGCAAGCGCGACCACCACGTCAAGGTAGCAGCTACGGTCGGGTTTATAATGCGTTTATCCCCCTCTAAATGCAAGTTGTCGCTCCAGGACTGGTCTACGTCAACACCTGAACTAAGCTAAGGGAGTGAAGTAGTCGAACGTTTTGACAACTTCACTTGTTTTGGAAGTCTGATCAGCCGTAATCGGTTAGTGTCTGACGAAATCTCAGCACGGATTCGAGAAGCTCGTTTAGTTTTTGCTAACTTATGTCATCTATGACGAAGGCGAGATATCCGTCTATCAATTAAGGGATGAGCATATTGCGTGGCAGTTGGTTCTGTTTCAGTTCAAGGCTGTGAAATGTGGCCACTGAGGGTTGAGGATACCAGTAAGTTACTAGTATTTGATCACAGATGTCTTAGAAATGTTACTGGCATCTGCTGGGATCACCAGGTAAGTAATAGTGAGGTTAGCCGTAGGGTATTAGAGAATGGTGCTGAATCACTTGATGAGGTTATGAATCTTCATCGACTGAGATGGTTGGTCCACGTGTTGCGTATGCCTGAACACCGATTACCACGACGCGCAATGCTAACTAATGTTGGAGACGTCTGGAATAAAGTTAGGGGCGGCCAAACCAAAACATGGGATCAATCCATAGAGTCACCAACTTCTAGTCTGAGCCATGTTAGTAGATGCAGAATACATTGTTGGAGTCCACGTGTCTATCGTAACCAATAGATGGAGACTCTTGGTGACATGACTCAGAATCGATCACAATGGTGTAGGTGTAAACACTCTCTGTCTTCCTGTAAACTAAGAGATTAAAATCACTTCAAATCTTTCTTTCTAGGTACTAATTCTTTCTTCCTGTACTATATCCTTATACACAATCTTTCTTCTATATATAACAACCACTGAATTAACTACTTCTATGAATCCGGTGTTCATCTTGTTGTGCCGGCATCCAATGGTGTTAGCGTCTAACATCAACTAATCCACGAAATTGCGCAAATATCTTCCATTGTACTGAGGTAGATAGCTGTCTCTACCCGACACGGATTAGCTCCACTGGTCACGGCTTCTCACTAGAACTCCGAGAATTCCCTCACGAAGCTAGTCACTAGTTAGCACATGTTAATTACCAGTATAGGGGTTGTGGTGATTATTAAGTTTTTGATTGAGCTCATGAACCGATTGACGTTAATTTTTAGTTGATTTAATTGCAGTCAGTTTATTACATTGGGTCTCAAATTAAAACCAACAAACTCCATACACAAGTATAAGTATGGAACATGTTCAAATTCATCATGATCTAGTTTCATCATCTCTACAGGAACTTCAGCATTTCAAATCCACTGTCTTTAATTGTTGTCGTTGACACATCAACATCCAATCTAATCATAAAAGCTTGTTAACCGAAAGTCATATTGAAGAGTCTAGTCTGTTGAGAAAAAATAATGGTTACTTAATCGCTAAAGCCATTTTAGATCTAACACTATATATTCTTTCAGTAAGGGTTTTTAGTTTTGATCATAAATGTTTTCGTTGATTGATGTGCCGTCTACTTGTTAGTGCATCTAAATGGCCAAATCCACATGTAGTTTTATGAAAAAAGTGGACAATCACTGATATCATTAGTCCTAGTGTATATGTATGTATGACTGATTAAAAGTAATACTATTTAAATTTCTTTGCTGTTAAAACTTAATTTTCCATGTGAGAAATGAGGTATAATGATTTATGTGATTGCGACATTTAATTTTCAACTAATGGATTAGAATATGGGATTTATCTCCACATTAGTATTACTAGTCAGGAGACGAAAAGTGAATATCCGGCGCTTTAACCGGGCTGGTGGACACGGAGAGTCCATCTAGGAGAGTTGGTAAACCCTGATTCCAAACTAATGGTGAACATGGGATCCAGTATCCTGAGGGAACAAATGGCGTATGAATCAATCGTTGGCTACCGGCTACCATCGGACTGCAACTCCTGATGTTGCTCCACTGTCTTGTGGATCAGATCTTCAGGTCGAAGGCTCGGGGTGTGACCACGTGCTTCGGTTTGGGCGCTCGGCAGTATCCCAACTCTCACACAAATCGAATGATTTCTGTGGCGCATATCTATTTGGTGCTTCTTTGTACCAATGTTTATGTGTTTAAAAAAATAAAATAAATAAACCAGTCATTATACAAAACTGTGTACAAACATTATTATTATTATTATTATTATTATTATTATTATTATTATTATTATTATTATTATTATTATTATTATTATTATTATTATTATTGCGTAATATTTACGATCCACATTCTGTGAAAAGAACATTTTGAAAATGTAATCAAACCATCTAATTTCTTAAAGGAATTTCTCTTGTTTGGACAACATGTGGATTTAATCGAAGACAAAACTCTGAAACATGAAATTGTTAACCCACCTGGCCGAGCTTTTGCTGGAACTGTATGGGAGCATTATTCTGTAAGTTTTATTTATTTTTTTTGGAGAAATATGTAATAGTTTCCTTCAAAAAACATTCAACATATATTTCTATATCCTTTTCTTGTGTGAAGCTGCTTATAATAAGATTTTTGACCACTCAGATAGTCATTATCAATATAGAACCTGACATGAGTGTAAATCGTTCGAAGTTGCCATCAACTCAGCAAGTAATCAATTGAATGTTGGGTTAATTAGAGGAACAATGGAAAGTTAAACAGTAAAGGATTCAACCAAAGAATATAAGGCTGGGAATAATTACTGAAGATGTGGACCGGAATAGGGAATAAATATGACTGTGCCACAGTGATCAATTTGGCACCATGCTATTCAGTATTTCTTAATTATTGATGAGCGTTGCATAGGCTTAAGCCAGAAAGTAAAAAACCTTTGAACATGACTCAGACTAGGATTCACTAACTTCACTGATAGATACCCTTTCTTAACTTACCCAACCTTGGATTTTTTATTTTTTTCCAACCATATTCTGTGTCAACAAACATTTCACGTAAAGGTAAAGGTTCGTTAGACATGCTCAATACATCTCATAGCTACTTAAGCTGATGGAGATTTTTACCCTCATCAATGAACATATCTTTTTCGCCTATTTCTGTACACTACGCAAGCATTACTAACTCGGTGGTTCGCCCACACACTAAAAATTCCTCGAAGATACTTATGATGATACTTTACACGTCTTCTACTTTCATAGGCCATATTTCTCAGCTGTACGGTAATGCACAGCGAACTTTAGCAAAGTATACTGCCCACTTATTTTTATTATTTAGTTTAACACATAAGTATTGGTACAAGGAGGCACCAAATACATATTCGCCACACAAATCTCAATTGATTTGTGTGCGGGCTGTGATACTGCCCGGGTGCTCAAACCGAAGCAGGTGGTTTACTTAGTGGGCCACACCCCGAGCCTTCGACCTGAACGTCTGACACACAAGGCAGTGGAGCATCGTAAGGAAATGCAGTCCCATGGTAGCGGGTTACCAACGATTGGTTCATACGACATTTGTTCCCCCAGGATATTGGAGCCCATGTACACCGGACATTCGCTTCTCGTCCTGTCATTTTCGTAAACAACAGTAATGCCACGAGAAGGCAGTGAGTAGGACTTCCTTGGCAGAGGCTATATACGCGTGGCCATATGAGAGCGTTTGGAGAGGTAGAGCGGACTATCCCCATTCTCGGCCATACCAGGGCATTTGGGGGCCCTTTTGTTTACAAATGGATATCTCTCTTCACAGATTGATCAAGTTAGTGAGACACAGTCAAGCATTCTGCATCCATGTCGCGATTTCGTCGATCACTAGTCTATCATGACTGAGAAAACCTCTAATATAAATACAGTGTTCGGGTTTCCCACTACTTCACTTCACATGATCAAACTAGTCTATTTTTGTTAGGTTTGAAACTTAACGTGTTCACTTTAATTTGCGAACGAGAACGGGATTCGATGACCAAAACCAGTAAGCTAACTATTGACGCGTCCCAGCCCCAGCTATCTAGAGGGAGAAGTCCAGGCTTGAAATGAGAACTATATTCTGCAACAACCAGAAACGAGCGATTCAACCAAAACAATTTAAAACATATATGTACAAATATATATAATCGATATTGTCATTTAAATTTTTAAACATTCGTCAATAAGTTCGTCAATTGATTGCTATTCAAATATTTAAACATTTAATCGATAAGTTAATCGATAAAATTACAAATGTGAGTTTTTGGGGAATTTATCGTCCCCAACACTCCTCGCCTTTTTAATAGCGTGCCTTCCTGGGGTCGACCTGCATCCTGACTGTTGCTCGCCGTTGTCGTAGAGGCCACCGTCTGGAACGTATTTCAGCTTGTGGTTGAGGTTTTTCTTGTAGTGGGGTTGCCGGTAATTTCAAGGTGTCTATCAGAATATCCAGAGGAATGTTTGCTTCGGTTGATGAGCGGTCTGCGGCTAACCGTTTGCGTAACTGATTCCGATGGCGTTGCCACGTTTCTCTGCCTACCTCAACTTCGTACATGACTCGGCCAACTCTCCTGACCACTCGCGCTTCCGCCCATGGACCATGGGTTAGTCTGTAGTCACGGGCAAACACAGGACATCCCACTTCGTACGTGGATTGCTTTTCAAACTTTGTCCGTTCTGGTGTCGGTGCATTACTTGGATGCATCAGGCTGTGGATCGTCCTCAATTTCCTTCCTATGAGGATCTCTGCTGGGGACTTTCGCTCCGGCAAAGTCTCATTTAGTGTTGTTCCGTACACGTATAAGAATTTTTGCAACGCGTCCGCTGGTGTCCCCTCCCTTTTTGTCTTAACCAAAACTCTTTTAAACGTATCCACAAACCTTTCTGCTTGCCCATTCGACTGCGGGTGATATTGTGGCGACCGTAAGTGCTTTATGGCTAGCCGTTGACAAAATGACTGGAACTGGCTGGAGGTGAACTGTGAACCGTTGTCAGATGCAATGACATCCGGTATACCATTTCGGGAGAAAATTTCTGTGAGGATTTGTATTGTTTTAGTCGTCGTTGGCGGTATTATAGGTTTGATTTCTGGCCATTTCGAAAGGGCGTCGACTACAACTAGATACATGGTTCCGTTAATCGGGCCTGCAAAGTCGACGTGTACCCTGGACCAAAGATCCTCAGGTTGTGGCGATGAAACTGGTGGAACTTTGGCGCTCACTTTTGCCGCTTGCTGACATCGCATACATTTTCTAACCAATCCTGTTATATGTTGATCCATTAGCGGCCAATATGCATAACTCCTGGCTATGGATTTCATTTGTCTAACCCCCGGATGACCAAGGTGGAACTGTTTCAGCACTTTTGCACGAAGGGATTCTGGCACAACCACTCTCCGAACATCAAGCAATCGTTTACAATGCTTAACGAAACCCGCCGCTGATACAGCTGTTTCATGTCATCATCAAACTTCTTAGACGGCCAACCGTTGATGACATAGCTCATAGTCATCTTGATGATGGGGTCGCTCTTAGAAGCATTTTGTACGTCGGTTGCAGATACCGGCAAAGCTCGTATTGCGGTCGTCAGATAACATTCAGCGTGGTCTTCCAAATCATGTGGTTGTTGTCGTAGTTGGGGTTGTGATACCAGGTTGCATATAGTATTCAACGGGACATCAGCTAAATTTAACTGATCGAACCAATCTAACCCGAGTAAATTTAGATCAGTTGGCGTTATGTAACATACCCCAACGAACGCCGAATCACGGAAAGTAACTGTACATTCCATTTGTACAAGCAGGTGAAGGTGATTACCACACGCAGTACGAGGCTTTTGCATTGTACGTTGCAAGTTTGGGCTGCCCATTTTGGTCCAAATCTTACGTGATAGGATAGTGACATCTGATGCAGTATCTATTTGTAATGTAGATGAGTGCCCATTAATATTAACAGTAATAAATTTTCTCTCACCTGGTGCTGAGCTTTGACATGAAGATACTAAGCTCAAAGAATTAGTGCGGGATCTAGGATGGGTCTTTTTGTTATTTCTGGATTGACTTGGATTCTTCTTCCTCAGACAAAACCCATCCTTATGACCGATAACCTTACACTTCTTGCATCGATGTTGCTTAAATGGGCAGTTTCGAACGTAGTGCCATGCACCACATTGCGAGCAGGGAGCAGGGGTATTTGCTTCAGTCTGTCGTCCCGAGCTGGAGTGGGATGGACTGGATGGAGCAGGAACGTATTCGTTTTTGTAAGGTGTCTGTTGCACCGCTCGTACTTCAGATCGGCCAGACCCACCCCTCTGGACCATAGAAGTGTCTCGTTGCAGATTAATAAGACGTTGATATTCATTAGCTATATCACTCAGGGTGAGTTTCGGCTCTTGATCCAACCGACTTAGTAGCCTCGTTCGTAAGTCACCCAACTTTTGGTGCTGTAGGCTGCAAATGAGGATCAGGGCTTTAAACTGATCTTCAGTCAAAGACTTTAACCGGAAGCGTTCGCATTCACGGTTGACGACACCCACATGCGTAAGAAAATCATCATCTTCGTTCATGGTTAGCTTCAGGCATCGATAACGAGTATTAAACAGTGACGAGTTATCGACAAAATGTTGGCTTAATGTTTGAACTGTGTCTGCAAATGATCGGTCACGTGAGTTCAAAGGCAGGATCAGATTGCAATACTTATCCAGCTCAGTTGCACCCAATTTACGAAGTAGTAGCCGCACTTTCCAAGCATCATCTTGATTGGCGAAATCAAATTTAAATAGATCTTCATAACGCCTAAAACACATCTCAAAAGTAACATTAGCATCAGGATCGTAATGGAATTCAGCTATACTATTTGCGGTGCCATCTACTGATGGTGCCGTGGTTGAACTAGACGTGCTTGGCTGTAAGGGATACGTAACCCTGGTCTCCGTCAACATGTGCATCAATTTCAGCTGCTGCTCAAGTAACAGTTGAAGTTTGGAACGGTCCATAATTGAAAAACCACTGTCGCCAAATTGTTAGGTTTGAAGCTTAACGTGTTCACTTTAATTTGCGAACGAGAACGGGATTCGATGACCAAAACCAGTAAGCTAACTATTGACGCGTTCCAGCCCCAGCTATCTAGAGGGAGAAGTCCAGGCTTGAAATGAGAACTATATTCTGCAACAACCAGAAACGAGCGATTCAACCAAAACAATTTAAAACATATATGTACAAATATATATAATCGATATTGTCATTTAAATTTTTAAACATTCGTCAATAAGTTCGTCAATTGATTGCTATTCAAATATTTAAACATTTAATCGATAAGTTAATCGATAAAATTACAAATGTGAGTTTTTGGGGAATTTATCGTCCCCAACAATTTTGCATTTAACGGTAGAGAAACTCTGATTAGATATGTGATGTAGATGACCTGATTCCTTTCTAGATTATTAGAATGAATATAATATTTCATCAGAAGCTATTTTGAATTCGTAATCCATTAGTGTTAAGAAGCTATCGCTCTACAAGATCCACCATATACAACCGCGGGGACCAGGATATGGATCGACTGACTGAAGTGCTGCCACTTTAATCATTAAACCATCATTGCGACATTTCTGTTACTATTCATTTTGCAGTATATTATCGACTAGATTTTGTTCGTTATTTATAGCAAGGAAAAGGATTACGTTTTCACAACCTTGAGGCATTCTCCAGACGTCTCCGCTTTCGTGTAGGTCTTCTGCAAGAGTATTTCGGTTGTAATTTTACCGTTACTGCTTACTTGCTATCGTCGAAATCAACTGAATTATCTTTCAGTCAGTTGGACCACGATTTGTTCATTTTGCAGCAAGAAGGTTCACAAAATTTTCAAATTTCAAGGTATGATTAAAGTTAGTTATTCACTTTCCAAAACAACCTTTCAAGTAACAATTTTGCGTAATTATATACAGCATAGTAAAATATTAAGTAATTAAATGAAATGTAGCCTGGAGTGGATTGCACTGCCGTTCCATATTTTTCCAAAGTGAATAACTCAATAAGGACTTTTCTAATTGTGAGAAAGTTTCAAATTAAACGAGGTAACATCATTCATTAGTTGCATAGTACACACATTTGGCTTTCAGCCATTGTTGCAGGTTTAAGCTCTTCTGCATCGACTTTGGTAGTCATCACAACTGCCAAATGTCACTGGCCCTCAAGCAGTGTTAACACGAATCTATAATTGGTAAGTGATCAGAAATTCAACTATTAGGCAATGTTTCTAATATTTTCTTTATCTGACCAGTTTCATTTGCCTAAATAATATCATTATTCATTAAACGAATGTGACTTTCTGACTGGATTTGGTGTAACTACATCAGAGATTTGTAATTTGTTCGGTTGAAAACTGTAGATGAGTCACTCGTGAGCACTTATTTTTAAGCCATACATAATTATGTAAATTTTATCTATACAACTTCGTAATTAATTCGAAGCAGATGGAGCGGAGTTTAAATTTGTAATAGATCGATCACTTTATCAATAAACTACCAACCATTCCACCATCATTATAACTTGTGGTATCAGAATCAATCAGTTAGTTATCGACAACATAAGACCTGAGACAACTTGGCACATTTTATATCAACAACAGCGCAGGAGACTGGAGGAAGCTGAAGTAATGTCAGAGCAAATTAAACATTAATAAGACATGATTTTAAACAAACCAATTCAGTAAACTGAAGAGTATGGCGTAATAGTGGAAACTATGATGTAAACGACAAACAAAGAAATATCATCAACATAGAGCCTGACACATATGTACGTTAGCCCAATTTGCCGTACCTGAATAGAACGAAATGAAAGTAACAAGATAAATCGAAATAATGTAATAGCAACGATAAGACAATATGATTTAAAATGACAATGGGAAGGTATGTGTGATGGGGGTAATAAAATTCAAGATAGAGAGTGTATGTATCTGGGCTCTTGTGAACGATTTCAAACTAGGTCAACCAGAGTCTTCAATTATTGATCTCGACTATCATGCGGACTCCAACCAGTTTAATCTGCAACTACGATCGTGGCTCAAACCATCAGTCTGTGACTTAAGCAATTGACGCCACGTATTTTTTTGTTCGCCCTTTGTTTCTTAACAACTTATTTCATCACTAGCAAGCATCACTCATCTAGGTACGTGATGTCAGGCATACACATATTTTAACCACTTCCATCAATGAAAATTCATTACCTGATCAACTGGTTCACCACCAAATGGGATTCGAGTTTCTAATCAAGTGATTGAACCACTGAATCACCATTGTTCGATCAAAAGGTTTTTAAGTTTTATTCATAACTTCAGCCTAATTGGATCATAAGCTAGATAAGTTTGAAAAATCTCAAGAAGTTGAGTGTAGTTTATGTAATTTTTTTGAGAAAATTTTTCCTGTTTTCTTCTTTTCAGTAATAAAACAAACTTGAAAGGTCCAAACAAAAGTACGTTTTCCGTTTTTTAAAAGTAACTCTAATATGGCTTAATCCATTTTGTATAATCGTACGTTAGGGTTCACTAGTATATATGTGTGTTTATGTATGCTCCTGTATGATGATTATTCATGATGTCATTTGAGTTGTGTTAAGTGAAGTATCTATTGATCAATTTAGTATGTAAACATAAAAGAGCATAACGACAATAACAACTGATATGAATAGTGGAAATTCGTTACATGACTGAAAAATAATGTGTGCCAATTACACTTAGGCCACCTATAACACTTTAGTTCTTACATAAGCTTATTCAAATTACCGCTTTATCATTTCCAAAATAGACTCATTATGTAATTGTGATGCACAAATGGATATATTTTTTCTCATCTAAAGGTGGCATATCCGTGTTAGATTCTATTCATTAGGAATTTTTATTTCATCTTCCATAATGTAACTTTCAAAAATGTTTCTCCTAAATTTTACTCTTTTATACTTCAAATCGAAATTTAACCGTACACTTTGAAAACAAATTTTATTGGCTATTTTTAATATGAAGTAAAACATAACTGCGAATAAACACCTATTTACTATGATATACACAAAAATCTTTCTGATATGAATCAACATATGCTCACTAGTGACTGACTTCAAGAGGTATTTCCTGGAGTTCTTGGGAGAAACAGTGACCAGTGGAGTTCAACCAGGTCTGTTGTGAGATAGTAACTCACTGATGACAATGGTGGATGTGTGGCTCAATTTCATGGATTGGTTGAAGTTAGACACTAACACTGTTGGATGCCGGCCGGTTCAGTGGTCTTGAGGTTAAGCGCTCACACGCAAGACTGATAGGTCCTGAGTTGGAATCTCGCGAGGTGAGATCGTAATTGCGAACTCCTAATGAGGAGTCCCAAAATAGGACGAAACGGCCATCCAATGCTTCCAGGTTTTCCATGGTGGTCTAGCTTCAATTGATTCATGATCTCAACCATTGAAATTACTATAATCTCCACAAAAACCCTTCTGATATGAAACACTTGATTAGCGAATACAACGATCAAACAACCCATATTTTCAATATTATTTGCTAACCTCTGAAATCATGGATCAAAAATTAAAATGATGAAACTAGAAAATATATGGGTATTTGTTCATAAGGAAATATTTCATATGATCTTGAGGTTCAGCCAATAAAAGCGCGATACTTAGATGGCGTGGTTCAAGTTCAAAGTTTTGAAATGACTAAAAGGTTTAATACTTGATATTCCCATCATGTTGTTCATTTTTATGAAATGTTTACTAAGTATGTAGCAACTCAACAATATAATCAAAGAGTACATGCTTGAATTAAAATAAACATTTATTGAACTCAGTAACAAAGTGCAAATTCATATAGTCAGTGTTAAATCATAGTTTTTGGTGTAAGAGTTAGTCATGGAACAGTGTTTGTGTGGTTAAATCACTGACTCGGCTTTCAACCATCAGGTTGTAGATTCGATCCCGCATCCCATTCAATTTCGTTTGATCTGACATCTAATCTCATGAATGCACATTAATTTCAACTTAGAGCTAAGTCAGTCAGCCAAATGAGAAGTATAAAGACTTGTCACTTCTTGATTGCCCACTCTGTAGAAGAATATCTCCTCTTTAGAGACCTGAAAATAAACCTGGGATAGTGAACGCTATGTCTGAAAGATAACCACTTAAGACTGACCACAAACAACGCTTTTGCAAGTAATTTCAAATGAGTTAGCTCCGTACTTTAAAGTCCTTATCTTGGACGACGAAAATCTGTGGATTAAGTTAGGATTTCTAACTGTAGTGTCGACCTTCAACCCTTTCCCATTATGTGAGAGCATCATCACTGTAAGTGCTAGCGGTTTGAGTAGAACATCTTACTACTGTCATATCTCTGTACAGTTGCCCGTAAAACTTTGCTGTCGGACTGTTAGTTTACTAACCCAAGTCTTATTGTTCTTCAACCGATCTGCTTGGGATGGTAGGAGCTAAAGAGAAGAGTATCGCAACGGTAGGCGAACCTGTTGGTCACATCAAGATAGCAGCTACTGTTAATAATTAGAGAGACATCTACGTCGTAATTGCGTCTAATTCTTTCTAACAATATACACTTTCATTACAATTTTATAATTTTGTTGCTGTTAATTACTATTTCATTGAATAGTTTCTTTCCATCTTTTTTATTGTGATTTAGGCGTTATGTTGGTGAAGTTAAAACCTGGAGATTTACTTTATATTCCTAAAGGATTCGCTTACACTATGTCACATAATAACAACAATAATAATAAGCATACACTATATCTTTGCATCAGTTTTAATCAAAAATATAATTGGGGCGATTATCTGTCTGAAGTAAGTCAATTTGTTATCTTCGATTGTCAATAATTATTTGTCGTAATCTCTCATCGTCTTATGAATAATATGATATTGGAGCAATGGTTTTTTAAGTATTGAAATAATTTAACTTTAAAACCATTGGATCACTGATTCTAAATCTATTGTCATCTAGCTCTTATACCTTAATAATAGCTGATTACCTTGATTATGTACTTGGTGAATAAAACACATTATGTGACACATAATAATGTATATCAAGTCATTTTAAGCGTATTAACTGTTTTGTATCTTGATTGGAATCCCTTTTATCTGTAAATCGTTTGTCAAATTCGTGGTAATATTATGTAAATGGGATTCTGTAATTCAACAGTTTATTTTAACTCACGACAGAAACTATTTCATCCATAGATATTTGGAGAGCTGGGATATCCGACCTTATATGCTAAAAATATCAATAGTGGTAGTGATCAGCCAAATATGATTATATTTAGCTTCCCAAACCTTATATGATATCTTAAGTCAGTCAGTCAGCTTCAACGTACGACCAAGCACATATGTGCATCGGTCCAAGTTGCCATACCTCATTAACACAACAAGATGAACACCAAATTCATAGAACCAGTTACTTTAACGGTAGTAATATATAAAAGAAAGAGTGTGTATAAAGGTACAATATAGGATGAAAGAATTACTTCGTAAAAAGAAAGGTATGAAGCAATTTTAATCTGACGATTTGAAGACAGCATTTATACACCTATGCCATTGTGATCGATTCTATGTTATGTCACCCAGAGTCTTTATCTATTGGTTACGTTAGTCACGTGGACCCCAACCAAGTAGTTTGCATCTACTAACATGGCTCAGACCAGATGTTAGTGACCTCAAGCACTGATGCCACGTTTTGGTTTGGCAGCCCCTCACTTTCTTCTAACCATCCCCAACACCAGTCAGCATTGCGCGTCATGGTAATCGGTGCGCTTAGTGATTTCTTAGTTAATCGTATTGATAATATTATATCGTCACCTTTAAAACACCTCTTGTATTACCTAGTTATTTTCTACTCTTCTTCGTCGCTTCGAGTTTGTTATGGATTTTTCAACTTTGTTTTATTATGGTTGGAGACTTATTATTGACCTCATACTCAGGATGTTGAAGAATGGGTATGAGTTATAGTTTAGCGATATTGACTGCAGTGTAATTGACTTAATGGTTTGAGACATTATCAGACATGGATGAGAACAGAAGCTAATAGCATTCTTGCTGTAGTTTTCCTTTACATTCTTTATAAAAGTTAGAAGAACTCTCTTGAATGAAATTTCCATGCTTATATTTTTCATAACTGAAATATCTGTTACAAACTGTTCTCTTTCACTAATTTATTTATGTTTATTATACTTCTCGTTCCTTCTTCTATTTCTGCACAATTTCACTTATTTTTTTTTTATTCTGGAGCCCAAATGTACCAGTATTTATGTGTAATTGTGATGAAATAAGATAGTAATATTAGAGGTATTGTGTAAATTAGAACGAGTGGTAAAAGAGAGTGATATCGATATTCAATTAGGCCTTTCTTAAGCTTTACTTTATCATATCAATTTACATATATTTTAAGACATTATACTCCATCAATCCAATATAATAATAGTAGTAGTAGTGAATTATTTATTTGAACACATAGATATTAGTACAAGGAGACACCAAATACACATGTGCCACACAAATCTCATTTAATTTGTGTGAGGGATGTAATACTGCCCGGGTGCCCAAACCGAAGCACGTGGTTTTCTTAGGGGGCCATACCCGGAGCCTTTGACCTAAAGGTCTGATCCACAAGGTAGTGGAGCATCGTAAGGAGATGCAGTCCCATGATAGCCGAGAAGGCAGTGAATAATACTTCCCTGGCAGAGGCTATATACGCGTGGCCATGTAAAAGCATTTCGAGAGGGTGAGCGGACTCTCCCCACTCTCAGCCGTACCAGGACATTTGGGGGCAGTTGTGAATAAAATAATTAGGACATTTGCGCGAAATTCATCATCACACTTCATCACTAGAATTTACTAAAATACCAATTGTATAGCTAATCAATGTCATTGTATACAAGTTATATCAGATTAGACCAATGTCTAAAAAATTTCACAGGATTAGTAAGTACATTAGCCTTTAATCACTAAGTTGAACATTCAATGATTTACATTCCTTACTTTTGATGCTAATAAACTTGAGTTGTTGAGTGAGTGCTATTTATTCTAGATAACTTCGAATCTTGCTGTATATGTTTATCAACCAGGTCTGTTTTGAGATATCAGCTCACTGAAGACAATGGTGTACGGGTGCGCAATTTTTTGGATTGGTTGAATTTAGACATTAACACTGTTGGATGCCGGCTCAGTGGTCTAATGTTTAAGTGCTCGCGCGCGAGACTGATAAGTCCTGGGTTCGGATCTCGTGTGTGTGTGGGGGGTCGTGGTTGCACACTGCTGAGGAGTCCCATACTAGGACGAAACTGTCGTCCAGTGCTTCCAAGTTTTCCATGGTGGTGTAGCTTTAATTGACTCATGATTTTAACTAGTATATGTTTATCGTTACATTTGGTTGTCCCCTGTTTATATATAAAATTGACTTTTTTTTAATTTGTATTCCAGTTGTTACCAATTATGATAAAGAATGCTGTGGATCATGATCCAGAATTTGATAAACCACTTCCTCTTAATTCTTTCAAACACCTTGGAATATTTTTTAATAAAGATGCAGCAAATAAACATGTAAGTGATCACCTATTCATATCACATGAATATTGTGATCTTTTTTTGGTTTAAATTCAGTTTTATTTTTCACTTGATTATGATAGGTAGGTTATGTCAGGTAAGCCTAGCATATCAACCATCCATGATATTGTGAGGCCACACGGTAATAAGGGAGTTGTGAGTGAATAAACCAAAGCATCCATTTAGGATAAAACCACAAAACAATGGTATAAATCAATATAGATTGGTTAGGAATATATAATATGCTACATAATAAACAATATCCAGATAGCTTATCACTCACTCATTCATTCACTCATAGATTATGGTGCGTATATGTGCTCGTTACCAAGGAAAATGATGTACATACTTTGTAATGCAATCATCATAGCTAGATATATTTTTAGTATGGTTATCTACCTAAAAGATAAAACTTCAGTCTAATGATTAAAATGCTGAGCTTTCAACCGTTACAAATTCAAACTCAGTCTCACTTACTTCACTGTAGACAACTATGTAGTTTTACTAGTCTTCATACGAAAATTGTTGTTAGGATTCAGTTTCGTTGAATAATTTCATGTGACTTGAACAAAATATAAGTTAATCTATTACCTTTTTTTTTACCAATTATCAATTCGAATAGTTCGGATCATGAGTCAATTAAAGCTAGATTACCATGGAAAACTTCGAAGCACTGGACGACCGTTTCGTCCTAGTTTTATGGAACTTCTCAGTAGTGCGCATTCAGTGTACACCGTCTTTTCTTGAAATATATTTGTATAATAAAATTTCTGATAAACTGTGATAAACAGGGGATTAAAATTCAATGTTTGTTTGTTAACAGTAAATAAATCAAGTTCAATCTTCCTTAAGAAATCAATAGAAAAATACGTAATTAGTGTTCAGTAATTGATGTTGACTTTATACATTCACTACAGATTAAGTTGATGAGGTAAGATTCAATATTTCAATTTCTTCCTAAAAATTCTTAATATAATGAAAACATTCTTTAGGTTCATCGTCAATAACGACGAAAAAAAGACAACACTAGTATCAAATGGGAATTGTTTTTCATCAAAAATGTAGGAATCCCACAATAGGATAAAACGACCGTCTAGTGTATCCAGGTTCTCCATAGTGATAGTCTAGCTTCAATTGACTCATGATCTCAACTATATTGAAATTTTAAAGAGATCAAGAACAAAGATTTATGCAGAATAACAAAATCGATTCATGTTATTTCTTTAGGTTCTCATTAGCTGCTTACAACCCAAAAATATTTGAAAATCAACATTATTACAAATATTGACATACTTATACATTAGAGGGTGATGAAGGATGAATACATGTATATCATGATGTAGCAAATATTCCGTTAGAGTTAATGAGATCATAAATTTTTTTGTTTCGAATAAATAAAGTTTGGGAGGGAAGGTTCCAGAACATTGAAATAGTGATTAGAAGTCATGGAATTAAAAACTCATTAGATGATTATGTAACGAAGTAACTGAAAATAGATTAATGGTATTAAAGAGAGATATGAATTGAAATTGGTCAGTTATGAATGATGTAATTATAAAATTCAGAAAGAGTTGAAATGACGTAATAAATGAAAGGGGGGGTGATGTTACCAGGGCAAAGAAAGATTTATTACTGTTTCAATTTGTATACAAAGATTTGGTTTTAAACGTTTGATTGCTATCACCTCGGCAAATTTCAAAAGGTTTGAATTTAATTGTTTGTTGTTAATCACCTTGAAAGGACTTTAGTATATCGACTTCGTGTCCTGAAGCAGCTGATAATAACTAACGAAATAAAATGAATCCATTTATTATTCTGCACCAACTTTTTGTTCTTGCTCTCTTTAAAATAATAAAGAGAACTATGTATATTGAAATTACTATAATATTCACACAAAACCCCTTCTAATAATTATCATCAATTCCTTTATTCATCCATGCGAAGTATCTAATTATCACTCGACCGTAGCTGCTACCTTGACGTGGTGGTCGGGCTTGCCTATCGTGATAACCCAACCGAGCTATATTGTCAGGAACGTATGTTCCTGCAGGTTCTACCATGCCAGGCAGGTCGATTGGAGAACGGTAAGACTAAAAGCAACAACTCAAGTTCTGAGGGCGAAGTCGTACTGCTGACTGTACAGAGGTGTGACAGAAGTAAGGTGTTTCCCTCGGACAACCAGCATCTAAACCGATGCTGCCTTCTCACAAGGAAGGAAGGTGTCAGAAACGGTCGACCCTAAAAATGTCACACCTCACCTTAGCTCACGGATTTCCGTCTCCGGCGGTAAGGCCGTTTGAAGAACGGAGCTAACAAATTGAAAACTTTCCACGAAAAGTCCGTGCGCGACCGGCCTCAAGCAGTTGTTCCTTGGGCTTTGTGGTCACGCTCCCAGGCCGTTAAGGCCAACACTAATTCGATTTCCTTTTCAGGTTCCTCAAGAAATACCCTTCCACGGTGTGGGCAGCAGTTCGTTCCGTCCTACTTTATGGCATTGAAAGATGGCCGGTAAGAGTAGAGAATATTCGTAGGTTACTAGTATTTGACCATAGATGTCTTCGAAACATCGCTCGTATATCCTGGGACCACTGAGTAAGTAATGTAGTTGTTAAGAAACGGGTACTAGGTAAGGATGGCAAATCAGTTGACGAAGCAGTGAAACTTAATCAGTTGAGATGGCTGGGACATGTGTTGCGCATGCCCGACCACCGACTGCCACGACGTGCTATGCTTTATGGTGTAGGAGTAGGTTGGAAGAAAGCTAGGGGCGGTCAGACCAAAACATGGCACAAATCCATGAAGTCACTGACAAGTGGACTGAGTCATGTTGGTAGGTATAGACTACCTGGTTGGTGTCCGCGAGATGATAGCAACCGATGGTTAGAGACATTGAATGACATGGCTCAAAATCGTTTGCAATAGTGTGTGCAAGTGCATCCACTCTCTGTGTTCTCTCAAACTCGAATCTTCTGAAGTCTTCATGTCACTTTCTTTTTTCTGTTTACAAATTTATTCCACTAGATTATACTCCTTAAATAACATCTGTTATAATTCTCTCGCTCTTACGGTTTTAACCCAGCTATTCCTATTGCTTAGTATTCACGGACATCAATTCACTCGACAAGTCCCCAAATCAGAACACGGTTGAACAGGAGAGAGATTGTATTCCAAATAACAAGGTTAGATGGAAGTAAGAAGCAAAATAGGAAAACCGTTAGTATATTTATAGCTTTTTACATAAGAAGTTTCTAGAGTCTTCTCCATATGTTGACTAACGCTGATTGGATAAGAATTAGCCAATCAGCGTGCGCCAAAGCAATCGTGCATTGAGCATGCCTAAATCCAATCTATGTCCCACTAACAACATCATCAAACCGTAATGTTCCCTATTACTACTTATACTTTCACTACCTCTCCCACTATGTTATTTGAATCGATAACTGAATCTCTGTGCTGATATGGTATGGCAACTCGAAGTGATGTACGTACGTACGAAGTTCCACGTTTTTACTGACTGACTGACTAATTTAATTATGTAAATTCTTTTCTATTAACTTAAAGGCAATTGAATTTGAAAAAGAATTTCGTATGCAAACGATACAATTATTAAAACGTTTAATTAGTAAAATTGAACAACGTCAAACATTTCCAATTCGAAGATCAAAAAGTATTTCTCAGTCGAGTCTGGGAAAACATCAATCTTCTTCTGCTCCTTTCTTATTGTCAACAATAACAATGGATGCAACATCAACTGGCAAAGAAATTAATTCAACAAAACAACAACAACCTAATCCATATGATAATTTGTTTATTCAATCCATTGATCCTTTGTATTTGGCAATTGATCAAATGATGTTGAAAATAATGAAAGAAAGTTGTGCACCCGAGTTGAGTGAAGGTATTGCTAATGGTTTTCTTTTTCTGTATGTATGTTTGTAATGATTTGTATTTTCCATTTTTGTTGTACGATTTATCAATCGTTATTGTATTGCTTCGATGTTGCTATTTAGTTACCAGTAGCTTGTAACAGGATCCAAGTCTTAAGTATCGTCTCATTGGGAACTTTTGAGGTGAACGTTTCTGCAGTTACATTCCTGAATGAAAACTACAAACCCTCTCAAATAAAATCCATACTCGTTTCACAACCAAGTAGCTATCTAGATTCCTCACGTCATTGGACAACATCAATATTGGGTTGTAGGTACATCGAGGAACCGAGTCCCGAACGAGATGAAATGCGAGTACTGGTTTCCACTACTGATTTATTGTTGATCTTATCATAGTTAGAGGATAGTTATTATTATTAATAATATTATTATCAATTGAATTCTTCTAATTCATTTTTCAGATGAACTAATACGTTCTATTTTCAAACAAGGAAATGACAAATCGAATCAATTAACTGTTCATAGTAAAATTCGTTTGATTCGTTCAACAGCGATTCGATTAATGTTGACTTATTTTGAAAATAAAGAATCTGATACTGTCGTTGATCATAATACTTCCAATAGACAACATTCTATGATTCCTTCATTCATGGTATATCATTCTTTAAATAATCAAGGCAATACTACTGATAGTAATACAAATGTGGGAATTGGTTTTCATAAGAAAGTAAGCTTTTCGTCTTAATTTATTACTCCTATATTCAGTGCCAAAAACTCACCATACTCTGTTTTAAGTATTAAATATCATTTTTGATGTTTTCAGCGAATATGCGTCAAACATTTCTAGTTTGTGAGATTATCCACTGTATTATAGCCAGCCAGTCAGTCAGCTGCAACGTAGGACCAGGCACGTATATGCATCGGTTCAAGTTGCCATATCGCATTAGCACAACAAGATGAACACCGGATTCATAGAAGTAGTTAAGTCAATGGTGGTAATATATAGAAGAAAGATTGCATATAAGGATATAGTACAGGAAGAAACAATTCGTTAGCAAAAAGAAAGCTATGAAGTGATCTTAATCTCTTAGTTTGAAGGAAGACAGAGAGTGTATACACGTACGTACGCCACTGTGATCGATTCTGAGTCATGTCATACACAGTCTCCATCTATTGGTTACGATAGGCACGTGGGTCCAACCAGTTAGTCTGAATCTACCAACATGGCTCAGACTAGAAGTTGGTGACTCTATGGATTGATCCCATGTTTTGGTTTGGCCGCCCCTAACTTTATTCCAGACGTCTCCAACATTAGTTAGCATTGCGCGTCGTGGTAATCGGTGTTCAGGCATACGCAACACGTGGACCAACCATCTCAGTCGATGAAGATTCATAACCTCATCAAGTGATTCAGCACCATTCTCTAATACCCTACGGCTAACCTCACTATTACTTACCTGGTGATCCCAGCAGATGCCAGTAACATTTCTAAGACATCTGTGATCAAATACTAGTAACTTACTGGTATCCTCAACCCTCAGTGGCCACATTTCGCAGCCTTGAACTGAAACAGAACCAACTGCCACGCAATATGCTCGTCCCTTAATTGATAGACGGATATCTCGCCTTCGTCATAGATGACATAAGTTAGCAAAAACTAAACGAGCTTCTCGAATCCGTGCTGAGATTTCGTCAGACACTAACCGATTACGGCTGATCAGACTTCCAAAACAAGTGAAGTTGTCAAAACGTTCGACTACTTCACTCCCTTAGCTTAGTTCAGGTGTTGACGTAGACCAGTCCTGGAGCGACAACTTGCATTTAGAGGAAGAGAAGCGCATCCCGAACATTTATAAAAAAAACAAGTTCCCACAATATATTGTGTTGGCACAAATGCCAGGTAAAACGAAACCTAGATCCTGGGTTCTTTTTTATCGATTACCCTGGTGACCAACGTTTGGTTCCTACGCCATTTTTTCCTTCAGGATACTCGAGCCCATGTGCACCATTGGTTTGGAATCAGGGTTTTCCAACTACCCTTGTTGGAACCTTCGTGTCCACCAACCCGGTTAAAGAGCCGGACATTCGCTTTGTGTCCTCAATTTCGTAAGCAAAAGTAATGTTGAGACAAAGACTTCCCTAGCAGTGGTTGTTTGTACGTGGCCATGTGAGAGCATTTGGAGAAGGAGAGCTGACTGTAGCCACTCTCGGCCGTACCAGGGCATTTCGGGACAGTGCGTGATAAACATTTCATAAGCATGACACATTCATGAGTAGTTTACCAATTCATCTTATCTGTTCAATACTATCTTTAATATGTTTTTTTTTCAATTCGATCTCAACCAGTTTCTTATCGCACTCAGCCATCTCATACGTAAATATCCTGTGTTCATCCCTGTTAGTGGTTTGCCATTGGAAAAACATACAGATTGTGTAAGTTTAATTTGCTTGTACAAGTGTTAGTAGTAGTAATTGTTGGTATTTTATATTAAATAACATTTATAAAATGATAATCATTAATCTGATTTGAGTTTAATTACATAAAACTGTGTTTACTGGAATAAACTATTCATTGTACTATACATTATAATTATAAAATTTAAATTCATACGTATTTTCTGTTCAAGATTACAGTTTCACTCATAAAGGTTGGAGGAAGTCCATTGGCACTTTTCAACAAATGTTTTATTAGCTCATACAGACACATATATCCGGGGTGAGATTTATCATAGAACCCCTGGCACCGAGTGCTTCTATCAAGGCAAGGACATGGAAGCCACTATTATTTGATGAACATACGTTACATGCACACCAGAAATACACAATTTTGGAATTCATTCACTCCTTAGCCTACACATAAGTATAGATTCTATTGTATATATGTAAGGATTTATTATGTACATTTGGTTTCTAGTGGAAGTATGTATTATACGCACAGTAAAAACTGATCAAATTAATCTATGCATCTGAAGTATACATATAGGTATAAATGTGTTCAACTTAAGATAATGTAATCGGTTTTTACGATAGAGTAGTGGATTGATTCCTTATATTTTCTAATGAGGCACAGCTATACTATCCCAAAAGCATAATTAAGTTAGGGTTGGATAATTAATTATTTCCATCGACTTTAACTGTATAAAACTTTTCAATGGGATGAATTATCCATTATAATATAAATTTGGAGTAATACATATATTCTGTTCAAGGTATCACGTTGCTTCCAACTGACCGGTTGTGTTCTTATGATATAGCTTTCAATGTACATATTACTATAGTGTGTAAAGATAGGGAGGTCAAAGGAAGTTATATAAGTGGTGTGTACTACATTGTTATACAAGCAAATTTAACAAATCTTGTAGAAACGTTTGTCTTCATACGTTTTACATCAACAATGAAATGATATGTACTGGGAGATGGCTTTTTTTATTACTAACATTGATACTTTGTAAACAAACAGTCATTAAGATCTGATAATACTGTTCGGATCACATTGTTCAGTGCAGTCTTTTGGTAGCGCTGAACAACAATGCAGGGATGTTTATAATGCGTTTATCCCCCTCTAAATGCAAGTTGTCGCTCCAGGACTGGTCTACGTCAACACCTGAACTAAGCTAAGGGAGTGAAGTAGTCGAACGTTTTGACAACTTCACTTGTTTTGGAAGTCTGATCAGCCGTAATCGGTTAGTGTCTGACGAAATCTCAGCACGGATTCGAGAAGCTCGTTTAGTTTTTGCTAACTTACGTCATCTATGACGAAGGCGAGATATCCGTCTATCAATTAAGGGACGAGCATATTGCGTGTCAGTTATTGACAATTATCTTATGTAGTAACGTTTATTAACTTTTTGTGTATTATCCTTTTCTTCTTTTTTGCTATTAACAAGTTGAATGTAGCAATTACATTTTACAAATTAGGATTTATTATTACAGAACATAAAATACATCAAATTAATAATGATGCTGATGAAAATACAACCATCGGAGAATCTATAGTAGATAATGTCAATGTATCTAAATCTGAAATGGGTAAAATACTGAAACATCCCTCATCATTAGCCAAGAATATTAAAAGTAAAAGAATAAACTGTGAATTGATCAGTTTAGAGGAAGTTCAAGATAACCAGTATCCCATTGATGTTAATGATGAAGACAACTTAACTGATGATGATGACGACGACGATTGTATCATAACTGAAAATTGAGAAAAATATTTTTTTTTGGTGTATAGAAGAAGCTGTACATTTTTTAAATGTTGTGTATTCAAAACGAGAAGTTGAACTACGAGTAAATCTCTTTTATTTATTTTTTTGTATATCTCATTAAGGAATAAATATTGTACTATTATGGTAAATACTTGCTTCTTTTTTTTGTTCAACAAACTTTCTACAGCATAACGATCTATTTACTGCTGGTAATTAAAATCAAGAAAACGATTAAAGTTGTATTAATAGATGTGCATTATAATAGTGTGTTTCGATATTGAAAGTCAGTCAGCTACAACGTAGCATCAGGCACATATGTGCATCGGTCCAAGTTGGCATACCAGATTAGCACAACTAGATGAACACTGAATTCTTAGAAGTAAATTCAGTGGTGGTAATAAATTAAAGATTGCATATAAAGATATAGTACTGGAAGAAAGAATTAGTATGTATAAAGAAAGATATAAAGTGATTTCAATCTCGAAGTTTAAGGGATGACAGAAAGTGTATACACTGAAACCATTGTGATCGATTCTGAGCCATGTCACTCAGAGTCCCCAACCAAGTAGTTTGAATTTACCAGCATGGCTCAGACTAGAAGTAAGTGACTTCAAGCACTGATGCCACGTTTTGGTTTTGTCGCTTCCAACTTCCAACCATCCCCAACGCTAGTCATACCTCTAACAGCCCTCAAGGATATCGAAACCGTCTTCCTTTGATATCGAGGCACTTACCTTGGTTTAACAATTACTAATTTTAATGATTGTATACAAAGAACTTGTACCGTTCATAACAAGTCATTAATAAGGTTTTAATTTGAAAGTTCCAAAGCGTGATTAACTCACCCTATAAATAAGCGCCAACTAAGCATATGTTGTAGTGAAGGTGTACAATGTAGCATTCGTTACGTACTCAGGTGTTTTATTTTAGTAGTGGTGCGTCAAGCATACTTATGATCAAATACCTACAGCCCACAGTTTTCATACATGTAAAATAAATATTGTGTGCCGTAATGATAATTGACCAGAAAATTTTAAAAAATTTACGCAATTAGATCTAAGGAGACTGACTAATATAACAATTACACTGTAAAACTTCACGTAAACTGGACGTTACTTAAAGGTATGTGAAGTAAAGCTATTTAAACAGTTTGCTATTAATGTGAATATTAACATTCATCACGACCATTCTCAAATTATTAGAGGTGTGCTTGAATTCTTAGCATGTGTGGTTGTTGTTGAGGCGCTCCGTAGGTCGGAAAGTTGGCTTATAAATTATTGCAATCAATGGAATTTTGTTGTAAAGACAACATTCTTTCAAATATATAGTTTTTAGAAAGCACTAAATCTCAGCAAATGCCCTGGTACGGCCGACAATGGGGAGAGTCCGCTCTACATCTCGAAATACTCTCACATGACCACGCGTATACAGCCTCTGCCAGGGAAGTCTTACTCACTGCATTCTCGTGGCATTACTGTTGTTTACGAAAATGACAGGACGAAAAGCGAATGTCCGGTGTACATGGGCTCCAATATCCTGGGGGAACAAATGTCGTATGAACCAATCGTTGGTAACCGGCTACCATGGGACTGCATTTCCTTACGATGCTCCACTGCCTTGTGGGTCAGACGTTCAGGTCGAAGGCTCGGGGTGTGGCCCACTAAGTAAACCACCTGCTTCGGTTTGAGCACCCGGGCAGTATCACAGCCCTCACACAAATCAATTGAGATTTGTGTGGCGAATATGTATTTGGTGCCTCCTTGTACCAATACCTATGTGTTAAAATAAAATAAATAAACCCTAACCCGGTATTTTAGTTCAGTAGTTAATGATAATAGCTCTTCTTGTGTCATAATTTTTGCTATACTGAAGTACACACTACCAAATCTCAGTATAACATTTCTCAACAACTATTTGAAAACAACGATACTCAAGTACAATCGTTAATTATCTTTAGTCTTACATCCATTCAGTAGAATTTGCATCGAATACCTGATTTCTTGTGATTTGACCAGCGTCAAATATCTATTTGTTAAAATAAATAAATAAAATAAATCTCAGTAAACATCGGAAAATCCTTTATTTTGGAAAGACAATTTTTTTTCTACATAGTCAGTCTAAATATGTAACAGTCAAAGAAATACTTCGAGATCTAAATCTAAAGCTGAACAAGGCATTGTCAACTCAAAATTTCGTATAACATCAGGATGTAGAACACCCAATCGTCCAATAATTCTACTTTCAGGCTCCAATATAATATCAGCACAACGACCATCAAAGTATGTTGGATCTAGAATAAAAATGTCAAATATATGATGATTAGAAAATTGTATTTCTAACGTTTCGTGACTTAATGTAAGCCACTTCTTCAAAGTAGATAAGTAACCGAAGTAAATTCATTTTGTATTGTTTTCTTGGATCTTCTCTTATCGGCATATGTGCGTATTGCCTTAATTCACAATCATTATGGGCAAAGGTGGATAGTAGCTAGCAGTGAAGTCCAGGACGAGCGTTTCGCCCTATTTGGGGCTCGTCAGCTGGATGTACCTGCATCTCAGTGTTGATGTTCACTCTGGGACTCGAACACAGTACCGTTCGCTTCAAACACCATCACATGTTTGACCTTCTACCCAATGCTCAATTTATTTAAAACTATCAAGTCAAACCACGGCACTGATGCCTACAAACGCATTAATTTTCGGTACATTGACCGAAAGCAGTTAACGACATCTTAAGTAGCTAACGCAATTATGGTTTAGTATAACTTAATAATCGTGCATAGCAAGTATGATGTAATTCATTTATTAAGCACCGGTTCACGTAATCGCCTTTTAACTACACTGTGAAAGTTGATAATGCTGTTTAGCTGACTGGATGAAGTAGGTAAGATAGGATTTTAACCTGCATCTTATTACTGGAAATTGAAATTCCAATGTCATGAGACATCACTTCAAATTATGTGTGTATATCAACATAATTTGATTGACATGTTTCACCAGGTAAATCAAGAGTTTAATGTATATTTTCTCAAATAAGTTCAGAAACATAACCTTGCCCGACTTCTGATTAATGTGTAATAGAGTTACAAGGAGAACAAATAGATAAAATAATTTGTAATATAAACAGTATATTCACTGTATATTAGAGTAAAGTATCATTAAGATCTAGTTTAAAACAACATAGTTGGCTACAATAAATTAGTTATTTCAGTTGACTGAAAAAACCTTTCGGATGTTCACTGTCTTTCTCATTAAGAGTACTACGATTATTTCGACCCATTTCAATCAGTCAGTGTGCTGTTACGGGTGTGAGGGCTGATGTCACTTACCGGCTGCCCACACCATGGAAGAGTATTTCTTGAGGAACTTGAAAAAGTGGTTGGACTAGTGTTGGTCTTAACGACCTGAGAGCGTAACCACACAGCCCAAGGGACAACTGCTTGAGGCCGGTTGCGCACGGCATTTTTGTGGGAAGTTTTTAACGTGTTAGCCCCGTTCTTCAAAAGGCCTTATCGCCGGAGACGGAATTCCGTGGGGTAAGGCAAGGTGTGACATTTTTGTGGTAGACCTTTTCTAACCCCACCCCTCCTTGTGGGAAGGCAGCACCGCTACAGTTGCTGGTTACCCTAGGGAAACGCCTTACTGCTGTCACATCCCTCTACAGTCAGCAGTACGACTTCGCCCTCAGACCTTGAGTTGCTGCTTTTGGTCTCACCGTTTTACAATCGACCTGCGTGACATAGTAGAACCTATAGCCAATATAGCTCGGTTGGGTCATCACGATAGGCAAGCCCCACCACCACGTCAAGGTAGCAGCTACGGTCGAGATTTTGACCCATTTATTATATATGAATAACTAATTGACAGTGATACTAATCAATAGAATAAAACTCACCGGATGTAGCGTTCAATCTATAACTCAAATTTGATTTTTTCTCATGATCATTAGATTTCTTTGTTGTTTTTGACAAAATCGATTCAACTTGTAACAATTGCATTAATCTATCTAACAAACCATGAATTACTTCAAAGCCAGAATTTTTGTTGTAGTAAACTGCACAAATACGTCGATGATTGCTAGCACCAACATCTGTATAATAGATGGAGAAATACAATAAGGTGACTTTGCATATATATATCTCCTGAAAGCAGTGTTTTTTTATCTTCGTTCTATGTAAAAGCATTTGTACAGCTGTCTTTCGGAATGATAAATTCTGAATAAAGGAAGAATAATTTTTTCTGGATGTGCACTCCTGAGGAGTCCCACAATAGGACGAAACGGTTGTCCAGTGCTTCCAGGTTTTCAATGGTGATCTAACACCAATCAGTTCATGATCTCAATCAAAAATTTAATAATCTCCAAAACCCATGGTGATTATTTTCGCTTCGCTCTGTTCTCTTCGCTTCATTTCTCTGATTTCCTGTTCATATCAGTGTGTACACAATGTATGTGTTCAAAAATCCATTCATGTATTCGATTTATTTAACTCCGTTATTCACCAACGCGATTTAAGTTGATGATTCTATACGACGATTCACAATATGTATATTTCAATATCAATTACAAACAATCATACAATCTAACTGGAGTCAAATCTCGGGTCACTAAAGTTCCAACATACAAGAACAAACTCAAAACTTTTTACAGTAAGAACTATACTATTAAGATATTCAATTGAAAATATAATAGTCTACATAGACTTTAACTTTAGTGAATCATTTAACAATTAACCAACTACTATAATTGATATTTAATGCAAAGGGTTTGTGGAAACTGTCCCGTTTTATAGTTTATATCACAAATTAACTATAGTTAAATAACTATCGAAAACCAGGCAACAATAAATAGGTTTGAGTTCGATTATTCGTATGCTCGATTGTAGTTGTACGGTGCTAAAGAGTTTCATTCCAAGACAAAACAGTTGACAAATGCTTTCTAACTAAGGTTACTCCTAGAAATAAACAGTAGTATATATATTCTTACCTTTAGATGGGTTTTTCAGTACAATATCTTGAACTTCAAATAACTTCAAAGGTAATGGTAAACTTCTATTACTGGCTAATGTATTCAACAATCCTGGTAATAAACTGGTTCTGACAACCTGATCATGAAAGGAGAAAGAAACGTATTCAATTAAATTTAGAGAACACATAGCATTGAACATCAATAATAAGGATGAGATTTTGTGAAGACTAGTTACATGGAAAAATTGATACTGGATATCGAATTCATCTTACGTGTGTAGACACCTTATAAATGAATACTAAGCACGAGAGTTGAGTCGGGGACATAAGATATATTGATCATTATACTTTCAGATTAACAGAGACAAAATCTAATAATGTTTATTTATTTTAACACATAGGTATTGGTATAAGGAAGCACCAAATACATATGCGCCGCACAGATCTCATTTGATATGTGTGAGGGCTGTGATACTGCCCGGGTGCTCAAACCGAAGCAGGTGGTTTACTTAGTGGGCCACACCCCGAGCCTTCGACCTGAACGTCTGACCCACAAGGCAGTGGAGCATCGTAAGGAAATGCAGTCCCATGGTAGCCGGTTACCAACGATTGGTTCATACGACATTTGTTCCCCCAGGATATTGGAGCCCATGTACACCGGACATTCGCTTTTCGTCCTGTCATTTTCGTAAACAACAGTAATGCCACGAGAATGCAGTGAGTAGGACTTTCCTGGCAGAGGCTATATACGCCTGGCCATGTGAGAGCATTTCGAGAGGGAGAGCGGACTCTCCCCATTGTCGGCCATACCAGGGTATTTGGGGGCTATTCACCATAATATTACTTGCAGTGATATATGATTATCTAAGTTTTAACTTTATTTCATGACATATATTCTATGAATTCATTCCTTCTAATCTTTTATTTTCTTTTTACTATTACTGATACTACTAATTTTACTGTATTAGTACCTATCTGATTAAATTTATCACATTGTACTAATGGTAGTATAGCTATTCGGATTCGTGCATCTTTGCATTTTAGCCCCTCTATCAATGAACACTAAAGAGGGGCAACAAACGGCATCGACATCTATAATTAATCACATTATTTGTCACATATAAAGGAGTATATTCTTTAACTATACGTGGATAAGACATAATCGATCGTTTAATATTATAATTAATGTCATTTTTCATAGTGTTGATAGTATTGTATTCACTAAATTATAAACTAATGAGGTATCTCCGAACAGTATTGAATCATAAATAAATAAATATATTTGTAATATCCCAATGAGTAGAAAATTAGATTTTCTGACGTTTCGTGACTTGGTGTAAGTCACTTCTACAGAGAATAAATAACCAAATTAAAATTGATCCAAGTTTAAATACTACAACGGAACAATAGTATTGAATCATGTTTAGAGAGATAATTGTTAGGGGGAATTTTGTACTTAAATATGTTATGATATTCGTTACAAACATGTATCTAAGATTATGATAAAAGTAATGGTGCTCTGATAGACTCTACCAATAAATGAATAAGAAATGTTATATTTTGGATAATTCATTGATGACTTACTTGGAAATCAAGCGTTTTAGGATTAGATATGTGTACAGCTGGGATATCATCTAATTTTTGTCTCAATTTAGTACTGATATCTTCCCTGGAGCACTGAAATACAATGGAATTGGTTAATACATCTAAAGCTTATAGTTAAGATGTAGAGAATAAAAGTGTTACATTCCGGCGAGAATTATCAATGGTAACTTTTAAAAACTATTCACAGACAAGTATCATACGTATATTCTTAATGTATAACTATTCAGTAGCTAGATTATGTATATCTATACTCTTCGTATTACAAGCTTCCATTTGACCTATAAACTATTATTATACGATTTACCATTCTTGAGTTATACCTAGTCTATTAATTACAGTCTCCTACATTCACAACGATTTTCGGCTAGATTCTGTACAACTGTTATTTTCCATTTTATAGTACGATGTAGTCTGTTTGGTTTGTATATAAATCCAGTATGTTCGAAATACATGATTCACATCGCATAGGTTGGGATTAGTGTTTCGGACTTAACAAGTAGGACTCAGCAAGCAGAAGGATAGATAGAGACTCTAGACTACTCGTACGGGTTTTTTGCGTCATTGGTCCGGGCGATAAATCACTGTTCTCAAATTGGCGTTATCATTTCATCATATATTAGTAGGCCTTGTGCTACTTATGTAGACATAAGTAGTATGTGACGCGAGTTAGGAACGTAATGTCTAGCAGCAGAAGACGGGGAAAGATCAAGAAAGGAAGAGCGGGAACACAGTGGAATTTGTATGGAAACTCATGAACAATGAAAGAACAGACAATCAATTGATGTTTGCAACAGGAACAGTCAAGTTTGATATGATGGATTGTTATTTTTCAAATTAACGATTCACTATATGGTTGTTAGATCTGTAATTTGTTACGTACGAAGTTCTATGTTGTTACTGACTGACTGGTATTAGTAGGGCACAAGGCCTACAAGACAATAATGTTAGACATCAGAGCAAAATGTAATAAGTATACGATTTATTTGCAATAACATTTATGTAATTTTACTTTGTTAACGAATTTTATTTAATATCAGATTGTTTTTGTGGATATTACAGTAGTTTCAATGGTTAAGATCATGAGTCAGTTGAAGCTAGACCACCATGGAAAACCTGGAAGCATAGACGGCCGTTTCGTCCTATTGTGGGACTCCTCAGCAGTGCGCATCCACGAATGTTATTTATTCAAAGATGATATGATATAATTAAAACATTCTTAACAAGAGTTACGTAATATATATATATATATATATATATATATATATATATATATATGTCTATAGATATGATCAGTGCGTGGTTACTCTTAGAATACTAGACCGTTTCTGGAAGTATAAAGTGGAGGCTACTACTTTCCACTTGTCAGTACAAATGGTAATATAGACTCAACTCGTCAGTCTATACAGAAAACTTCAACGAATTGTATGATCAAATGTCAACATAACAGAATAGTCAACGAGAATCCCAACACAAGCAAAAATACTAGTTTATGAGGATAACAAATCTAAATAGACTGATTTGGGACTTATGAAATAAATTTATAATCCTCACTGGTTATTTCTAAGCAAACATTAATAGCAATGGAAGTCATCAACCTCATAGAATAGAATACATCACTAGAAGCATCTATATAAGTTTCATAAACTCGTTTCACTAAACAACTTCTGTTTAGTTGGCATTCAAAAGATTAATACACTATGTTTATGATGTCAAGCCTTTATTACTAGTATTTTCATTTTATGAAACTAACCCACTGACTTTATTCTGCATAAATTATTATTATTATTATTATTTTAACACACAGATATTGGTACAAGGAGGCACCAAATACATATGCGCCACACAGATCTCATTTGATTTGTGCGAGGGCTGTGATACTGCTCGGGTGGTTTTCTTAAGGGGCCACACCCGGAGCCTTCGACCTAAATGTCTGATCCACAAGGCAGTCGAGCATCGTAAGGAGATGCAGTCCTATGACAGCCGGTGACCAAGAAATTGCTTCATACGCCATTTATTCCCTAAGGATACTGGAGCCCATGTACACCATTGGTTTGAAATCAGTGTTTTCCAATTCCCCTAGGTAGACTCTCCGTATCCACCAACCCGGTTAAAGCGCCGGACATTCGCTTTTCGTCCTCTCATTTTCGTAAACAACAGTAATGCCACGAGAATGCAGTGAGTAGGACTTCCCTGGCAGAGGCTATATACGCGTGGCCGTGTGAGAGTATTTCGAGAGGGTGAGCGGACTCTCCCCACTATCTGCCGTACCAGGGCATTTAGGGGCTCCAGCGCCTTAACCACTCGGCCATCGCGACTCTGAATAAATTGTACAAATTCGATTGTTAGCTATAATTTTTTTGAATGAAGAAACACTAACTTACTAATGAGAAACTTAATGCTTCAGTAAATCCCATTTGAGCTATTTCAGCACGAATAAGATCCGTCAACCGACTGATTGGTTGATTACCAGCTACACAATAGGTTTGTGGTAATGATTCAGGTATATTATCATAACCGAATGCAATTCCAACATCTTCAGCTATATCACATGCATGTAAAATATCATGTCTTGTAGGTGGTATTCTTACAGAGATTAGACCAGTTGCATTTTGACCTAAAACGAAATGAAGAGAAAGCAGATTAAAAATATTGATTCATATGAATCTTTTTTTTGGCAAAAAGGGCATCTCAGTTGTTTGGAATTAACTGAGGTAGGGAGAAGTGACTAACAAGAATTATCTGTGACACTTTTATTGCAAAGGTTTGCAATACCATATTGATGATACTCTGGGTTGTAATTCATCAGTCTGTGTTATCATATGTATATCCTGAGGGAATTACCTTGGTATAAACTTTGTCTCAAGTTTTAGCATGATAGGTACCTGATAATAAATGGGAACTAGAATGTACATTTTGTTCCATTTGAGACTGGTCAGCTGGATATACCTGCATTCTGGTGTTGACATCTGCACCGTGACTTGAACTCAACGTTTTCCATTGAGCTACAGAGTTCAGATAACAGACATGAAAATAAAGATTGATCAATTGCAGTTTTGAATATGAAAATCAGAGAATTACAAATCCTCACTGATGCCTACATACCCGTTGACCACATTAGTTGTTAATTGGACTTCACAGCTCAGTAGATAACTTATGGCGTTTCAAACGAAAAATACTGGTTTTGAGTCTTAATGTGAATATCAACACTTGGATGCAAATAAATCCAGCTGATAAATCTCAAAAAGGACAAAACGCAAGTCCTAAACTCCACAACTACTCACCATCCAGTTTTACTGAAAGAATATTCATAATATTGAGCAAGCGCTTTATACCAGCGAGATTCAGACATGCATTACATGAGATATGTGGTTGTTTCTATATTTCATCAGAGGATGATATGGATGATTGAAAGAAGTAAACTGCTGAAGATCATTTTGTGGATAATATGTTATAACATATGTAGTTTTTTTATCGCTCTTTGTCATGTTTATCGCTTATCAAAGTGAATTTACGAATATCCATTTATTCAGTAGAGCCTTCGGAAATTCACTGCCCCCAAATGCCCTGGTACGGCCGAGAGTGGGGAGAGTCCGCTCTCCCTCTCGAAACGCTCTCACATGGCCACGCGTACATAGCCTCTGCCAGGAAAGTCTTACTCACTGCCTTCACGTGGCGGGGGTGTTGTTTACGAAAATTAGAGGACGAAAAGCGAATGTCCGGCGCTTTAACCGGATCCCAAACCCATGGTGCACATGGGCTCCAGTATCCCGAAGGAACAAATGACGTATGAACCAATCGTTGGTCACCGGCTACCATGGGACTGCATCTCCTCACGATGCTCCACTGCCTTGTGGACTAGACCTTTAGGTCAAAGGCTCGGGGTGTGGCCCCCTAAGAAAACCACATGCTTCGGTTTGGGCACCCAGGCAGTATCACAGCCCTGACACAAATCAATTGAGATTCGTGTGGCGCATATGTATTTGGTGCCTCCTTGTACCAATACCTATGTGTTAAAATAAATAAATAAATGAATCGGAAATTCACTAGCCTTCATCAAAGTTTTGGTTTAATTGATCAACGGATGTCCTCGTTGTTTGTACACGATACTGTGGATCAGCTCATACTACGTCCATACGAATATCCCTATCATACAAGCGACTATTTGCTGAACTCTAGTCTGTGAGACACATTCTATTTTCAAGTTGAATTCTACATATATTTGTTCCTTCAGGATCATGGATCCCATGTTCACCATTGATTTGGGATCGGGTTAGAGCACCGGAAATTCGCTTTTCGTCCTCTCATTTTCGTAAACAACAGTAATGCCACGAGAAGGCAGTGAGTAAGACTTCCCTGGCAGAGGCTATATACGCGTGGCCATGTGAGAGCATTTGGAGAGGGAGAGCGGACTCTCCCCTCTCTCGGCCGTACCAGGGCGTTTGAGGGATGACAGCACATAACCGACTGTTAATGGGGATCCAGTCGATTAGTGCTACCTCAGCTCTAGCGCTTAGTGCGACACCAACGCCAGCAACAACAGACGAAGATGCCACAGGGTCCCCGGATAAACGCACATAAAACAAGATTTTTGAAGCGACAGATGGGGAGCGAATCTGTAGTACTTCACCAGAGTGTTGAATACGGTTCTCAGATGGAAAACAAACGCCAATATTAAGAATTTCCAAAGACATAGCCAGCCCTATCTGTTGTCCGACCTGCATAAGTGTGCGAACGTTGAAGGCAGCCAGTTTGAATGGTGCACGTGGTTTCAGAAAAACTGCTTCAGTACTCGTATTCGGTGGTAACATACAATTTTCAACCAGGCAGTGACTCGACAACGTTTAGATAGAGACGAATTTCCACCATAGGCGAGGTGCTGTCTAGGTCGAAAAGGATACATAAAGTGGGAATAAGAGAGAGTGAATAAATGACGGTTAAAGCACCGGACATTCGCTTTTCGTCCTCTCATTTTCGTAAACAACAGTAATGCCACGAGAAGGCAGTGAGTATGACTTCCCTGGCAGAGGCTATGTACGCGTGGCCATGTGAGAGCATTTGGAGAGGGAGAGCGGACTCTCCCCATTGTCGGCCATACCAGGGCATTTGGGGGCCAATACAATTCAAGTGAATCGTTAAAGTAAAAAAATCCAACTATTGGATCCATAATAAAGGTACAGTCAGAAATTGAATGATTTGTGATGACTGGTTTAATCAACCCTAAGATTTTTACATCATACAACAGCATGAATCGAAATCTAAAGTCGAAAAATTTCAAGAGACATTTCCTAGAGTTCTAGTGAGAAGTAGTGACCAGTGGAGTTCAACCAGGTCTGTTGTGAGATATCAGCTCACTGAAGACAATGGTGTGCGGTGGCGCAATTTCGTGGATTGGTTAAAGTTAGACACTAACACCGTTGGATGCCGGCTCAGTGGAAACAATTTTTATCACGTTTAGGCAACAGTCCTTTTCTATCAGATAAGCGAAACATATCAGATAAATCTATATAATCAATTATTTCAATAAAATATTACCTGTTGTTAATATATCTGAAGTTGAATCTTTACATTGATTTGATGATACAGTTGTACAAGTGAAACCCATACGATTTAATAAATTGATCACTTCTGTTTCAGAAAAATTGGTACCTAATTGACGATTGATATAATCAATACTGACAACTTCATCACGATAATCTAGACGCTAAAATGAAAATGAATCAAATATCATAATAATAATAATAACAACAGTATATCATTTTGAAGAAATAATATGACATTAAAAATCAAGTGATCCATGGTGATGTAATAGGAAAGAGTTAAGTCTAATATTAGACAAAGCTTAATTCTAATGGTTGAGATCATGAGTGAATTGAAGCTAGACCACCATGGAAAACCTGGGAGCACTGGACGGTCGTTTCGTCCTACTATGGGACTCCTCAGAAGTGCGCACCCACGACCTCGCCTCGCGAGATTCGAACCCAGGACCTATCAGTTTCGCGCGCCAGCGCTTAACCACTAGATGCCGGATCAGATAAGAACAAAACACTAAGAAAGTTTACTTGTACCTTAGGCTGATAATGACCACAGTATGAAACGTGTAGATATTTATAGAAGAATGAGGGGGTCATTGAGAATCACCAGATAAAAATGTTAGTCTCAGAGACCAATATTTAAATTTTAGTATTAAAAAGGGTTTTTTGTGGAGATTGTAGTAATTCCAATAGTTGAGATCGTGAGTGAATTGAAGTTAGACCACCATGGAAAACCTGGAAGCACTGGACGTCGTTTCGTCCTACTATGGAACTCCTCAGCAGTGCACATCCACGATCTCGCCTCGCGGGATTCGAACCCAGGACCCCTTATGGTGCTAATCAACGTATGCTCACTAGTGACTGGTTTCAAGATGTACATCCTCGAGTTCTAGTGAGAAGCAGTGACCAGTGAAGTTAAACCGGATCAGTTGTGAGATATTAACTCATTGAAGACAATGGTGGATGTGTCCCTCAATTTCGTGGATTAGTTGAAGCTAGAAATTAACACCGTTGGATGCCAGACGATCCAGTGGTCTAGAGGTTAAGCGCTCGCGCGAGACTGGAAGGTCCTGGGTTCGAATCTCGCGAGGCGAAGTCGTGGATGTGCACTACTGAGGAGTCGCACAATAGGACGAAACGGCCGTCCAGTGCTTCCACGTTTTCCATGGTGGTCTGGCTTCAATTGACTTATGATTCCAACTATTGAAATTTAAATTTTACTCAATGGACTTAAACATTTAGTAATGGTAACATTAAAAAAAGCCTTGTCTTTACTTAACTGTAGTCGAGGAAATGAAGTATTTCACAGTCATTTAAAATAAAATAGCTAACATAAAGCTACGATAAAATACTCACTGGATATAAATAACGACTGCCATCATGTTGAATAACTTCGACAGATTCAGAGCTACAAAAAGAAAACAAAATTATCTTATAAATGTTTGTACTGAAGAATGCCTGTTGATGTATAAATATTTTTAAAAGGATACTCTGACTAAATTTTATTTTATTTATTTATATTTAAACACATAAGCATTAGTACAAGGGTGCACCAAATAGATGTACCACATAAATCATTTGTGAGGGTTGGGATACTGCCCGGGTGCCCAAACAGAAGCACATGGTTTTCTTAAGGGGCCACACCCAAAGCCTTCGACATAAAAGTTTGAGGAAGCATTGTAATCTTAAGTGAGATATTAATAATAAGTGTACTAGGAGAGAGTTGAATGCCGTTCAGTATACATCAGTTTAACAATATCGGGATTATCATACGAAAGGTGAGGACTGTTATTGATAAAATAAGTTATCTATTAATGAAAAGAGATAAAGTTTAATGTGAAAACAAAATAAACCCAACTAAATATCCAGACATTTTGAGATATATTTCATTTGCTGGAAACCCAGAAGAACTAAACAACGACTGAGACCATTTCAGTCACTCAGCTACAACAAAGGACCAGACACATATGTGTATCGGTCCAGGTTGCCATACCTCATTAGCACAACAAGATGAATACTGAATTCATAAAAGTAGTTATTTCAGTAGTGGTAGTTTGAAACTTTTGAAGAATGGAATTCAGTTCTTTAACCCCAATAACAATCAAACCATCAACTTTATCATGCTCAGCAGAATGTTTGAATTTCTACATTCCAAAAACTCCAATGAAAACAGAAATTCAAATGATTGGTCACAAGTACTTTTTTATTTATTCTAATACATTAATTTCTGGACTGATACTATAAATACATTTTTATTGTATAATTCTTAAGTAACCAAACTATTCATATTCGTGTTCCTCTTATTTTAAGCTTCATTTTGACCCATAAACTATTATTACACGATTTACCATTCTTGAGTTATACCCAGTCTATCAAGTACTATCTCCCACATTCACAGACACTTTTGGCTAAATCTTGTACAAATGTGTATTTTCTATTTTAAGGTACGATGTGGTCTGGTTGACATGTATATAAACCAAGGTTGTTTGAAAAATATGATTCATACAATCGAAGCTGTTATTGACGTTCTGGACTCAACTGGAAGGGTTAGGCAGGAAGAAGGACCGACAAAGACTCTAGACTGCACGTACGGGTTTTATGCGTCACTAGCCCGATCGATAAATCACTGTTCTCTAATTGGCGTTATCATTACGTTATACATTGATAGGGACACAAACTTACAAGTTATAACAGCTACAAATCATCACTATCATCTTACAACCTACCACTTAGTAGAGGCATTAGACAATTAAAGTAACAACAAACTAATCAAGCTTTTAAAGAGAAAAATAGAGGGCTTACGTAAATGGTTCTTCACAATACTCTGAGAACATTGTGATAAGTGTGTCGAGAACAACAATAGATTTGTGTAAATCAGTTCCAGTTGCTTCAATAAAAATGTTCCGTGTTTTAGTAGAGATACGAGAATGTTCACCTGGATAATTAATAATAATAATGTCAATAAAAACACATATTTGAAACAATGAAAAAATGAGACAAATTTATTTAAATGGAGCACAAATAACAGAAATTTAGGCAGAATATTCTGCCCATTAAACACATCACCATGATGATTATAACTAAACATGTTTAACAACAATTCGTGTCTTATTGTGATAAAATGGTCAATGTTTCTTTCATTCAGTCACTCAGTCAGTACCAACGTAGAACTTTGTTCGTACGTACATTAGTTCGAGTTGACATACCACATTAGCACAGAGATGCAGTTGTCGATTCAAATCTCATAGTGGTAAACGTAATAAAAGTATAAGCAGTAATCGGAAACATCAGGGTTTGAAGATGTTATTCAAGGAGTATAATACAGTGAAATAAATTTGGAAAGAGAAAAAAGAAGGGGACAGGAAGAATTCGGAATATTAGAATTTAGGAGAACGCAAATAGTGGATGCGCCTGCGCCACTGCAAACGATTCTCAACCATGTCATTCAGGGTCTCTAACCATTGGTTGCAATCATCTCGCCGTCCTCAACCAAGTAGTCTACATCTACCAACATGGCTCAGCCCACTTGTCAGTGACTTCATGGATTTGTGCCATGTTTTGGTCTGGCCGCCCCTATCTTTCTTCCAACCTACTCCTACATCAAAAAACATCGCTCATCGGGGCATTCGGTTGTCGGGCATACGTAACACATGTCCCAGCCATCTCAAATGATTAAGTTTCACTACTTCATCATTTGATTTGCCATCCTTACCTAGTGCCCCTTTCCTAACAACCGCAATACTTAACCACCCTCAAATGCCCTGGTACGGCCGAGAGCGGGGAGAGTCCGCTCTCCCTCTCGAAATACTCTCACATGGCCACGCGTATATAGCCTCTGCCAGGGAAGTCTTACTCACTGCCTTCTCGTGGCATTACTGTTGTTTACGAAATTGAGAGGACGAAAAGCGAATTTCCGGTGCTTTAACCCGATCCCAAACCCATGGTGCACATGGGATCCAGGATCCTGAAGGAACAAATGGCGTATGAACCAATCGTTGGTCACCGGCTACCATGGGACTGCATCTCCTCACGATGCTCCACTGCCTTGTGAGTTAGACCTTTAGGTCGAAGGCTCGGAGTGTGGCCCTTTGCGGAAACCACCTGCTCCGGTCTGGGTACCCGGGCAGTATCACAGCGCTCACACAAATCAATTGAGATTCGTGTGGCGAATATGTATTTGGTGCCTCTTTGTACCGATACCTATGTGTTAAAATAAAATAAAATAATAAATAGAGTGGTCAGAAGACTCTATATTTTGTCAGTGTCTACACCAAATAGAATTATGTCATCGGCATATTCTAAGTCAACAAGTGAATCTCCCGGTAGAATTTCAACCCCTGGAAATTTAGATGAGGGAAGTGTCATCTCTAAAAGCACGTTAATGACAAAGTTAAAGAATGGAGGTTCTTTAAAGCTTTTAAAAGATAAGCGATGTTTTAAAATATAATCCACGAGATAAAAACTGACAGTCATGAAAACAACAAACTCAGTTGTCATACGACAATTCTACGCAACCTTTAAGATATTTAAACGCCTATTAAATGATTTCGTGAACTATCAACCAACTAATATGGTTGATAGATACGAAGGACAGAGAGGATATTGCCTACGAATATGAACAATAGTAATCAGATTAAGTAAGAACAAAAGACTAAAATAGATCTCCTGATGGTCAAAAATAATACTATCATTAACAGTAAGGTAATAAACTGCCCGCTAAAACGTTAGGCAACATAACTTGTAGTGATTAAAAAGTTAACTTTTTCTGAACCGTGAACATATATTTTATATCGTTGTTATCGCATTTTATGAATTATGACTAAATGCTTTCAGTTACCATCTTTAAACTGACTCATTTATCAGCTAGTTGGCTATAAACTGCACTATAGTTAATATGGCTAATGATACTACCCAGCTGCGTAGATCGACATATGCGTGGAGGGGTTCCAACGCGAGACCCAGTGGTTGAAAATCCAAAACACATATATATTTTTGAAAAATGTTATTCAAGCATAAATACAGCTCACCATTTATTATTGGAGGCATCGATAGAACGGTATTGGAACTGTCGAAAATAATTGGATATTTAGGTTTATCTTGAATCAATGAGAGATATTGTTTTAAATGTGAATCATTCTAAAATAAAAATTTAAGAAAACCTAGGTAATTCACAACACTAAAATTGAATTATGTGTTTATAAGACTAACTGATGTGCTGTATAAATAAAACAATTAAACCTGGGATAGAACTCTCTAAGGTTGAAGAAGTTCAATTCATCTTATTGAAGGCTGTGTTAAAAAAGTAAGAGATTGCCATAGTATCCTATTCTGATCTATGTCTAATGTTTTATACCAATATGTTATAGACTAGCCATGTCTAAGCTTCTTCCACCCTATTCCAGAGTTGGTAAACAGTTGGAGATGCGGAAGTTACTGAGATGACCCATAAATAATGACTAATCAACCAGAGTCAGTGTTTCAAGATGGAGACACTAAATAAATTATCGTCACCAAACCCGAAAATATATTATCGAACATTAAAATTACTGACCAGATCAAAGAGACACTACATCATGTACAACCTGACCGATAAAATTCGATCGACATTAAGGTCTAGATAAACACAAAATTGGAGGAAAAGATAAAGATCAAAGGACACATTGCGTCGGATTTTGGAAGCAGACAACAAAAGGATGAATAGCATCTGGAAGCAACTGAGAAGGATTGTCCAGGACAGAGTTCGATGAAGAATGCTGATGGTCGGCCTGTTGACCGTTATGTTCATGTTTTTGATACATAACTTCTATATGATACTTGCTAGTAGCTTATTTAATATACATTTATTCATAATGGATTTAGTAACTGGGATATTTATCTACAAATAATCCACACCTGACCAAGAATGGACAAACAAACTATGGGCACGCTAAAATGTAGTGACAACCAATATGCTGCATAATATCCAACTCAATAAACTAGTTTATAAACATTAATCTAAGACTAAAAATTGAAAAATATTTCATTGTTCTATTTGTTTTTCAAAAATATTAGGATCGGGATTTTCGCTCAACTGGAATCTGAAACTCAATAAATAGAAAAGTACCTGCATGCATAACTCAAAGATTGAAAGCCGGAATGCTAAACCATCAATATGTCAAAAAAGTCTTTAAATATATATACCACCATGCATAATGGATATTTAACAAAGAAAAGCAATTTATACCCAGTTAGACTCACAGAAAATATTTGCATTAGTTCTTCAGCACTGTGCTCTTCAGTTTTGTTCAATGCTTTAAAGCGAATATCTTTAGGAAATTTAGCATCATAGAAGAAAGGTGGATTTAAAGTGTCCAAATCATGCGCTCCAATGGCCACTAAAGATCGTTTTCTAAAAGTGTATTAAATGTTCATAAATTCAAGTCAGGACACAGATTATGATCGTAACGAACAATAAAGAATAGGTACTACTTATAAACAAAGTTATTGTTGCCTCTGTTTGAGTCTCTAAATATGACATTAGAAGTTTTGAGGTAATTAAATGATTACTTTAGAAGATTCCATAAATTACAAATTTTGGATTCAATTAGAGTATTATAAAAACTAACGGCAGAAGTATAGCACGAAATATTACCTGCACAAATTTTGGTGGAGCTTCTCTTGTAAATCAATGAAACTATTGAGCTTAGACTCATCCAGCACAATGTTTCTTAATACACCAGCAACGACAAAAGGTCTAACACTTTGGGTCTGTTTTGATGAGATCATCTTGTTATTGACTTACCGACGGCAAAACGTGCAATTGAATGAGATTTTGGGGTTTTTTAGTGACAAAAACCGGAGGCTTGATCCTAATATGAATAAAGTCAATAAAAGTTGCTCTACTTTGATTCAAATATCATAAGAGCTCGAGATAAACCCTCAGGACAAAGTAAATCATAACGATTAGCAGGTATTTCGACTTTATAAACCGGCTCCGTACTACACCCTTTAGACTTTTCCTTTCCCTTTTCTCTAGTAACTAGTTCTTTTTCGGTCACCTGAAACCAAGTAAATACTAGAATTTCAGCATACAACTTCGTCCAGTTCGAGACCATAACTGAAGCACAATTCTTCAAATTCTTCTTGAGCTATGAAATAAAAACGTTAGTTGATATTTATGCGGCCATTACAATATTCCTTTTGAAGTTTGTGGAATAAAACCGATTGAGAAATAGACACGATCGGCATTATCTCAAGGTCTGACCTTCACGTAGGTCACGCGGAAAATGTTTATATTTACCGCAGACAACGTTTATTCAAGTAACAAATGGTAACAGGTCCCAAAAGCTAAGAAAACTCAAAGATGTTTCGTCTTTTGTACTTGCCTGTCGTGTCCTCTGAGTTTTCTTGACCTGTAAGAAAAAATAGGATACGTTAAGTCCTAATTTGTTTGGATTCCCGGAAAAGCTAAGCTCCCATATTATGCTCGACTGGCCAAGTTAAACCCATTCTCTTTGTCATATCGAAGAACAAGAGGTGATTTGACCACAGTTTTAAAATTACATAGTGATAAATTTGCATCTGATATTGCCCTCATTTTTCTTGTTTTCCAAGACAGAGAATTTACGAAGTCACTCCAAAAAGTTCACAAACCCAGAACAAATTACTTGTCAATTGACCAGTGACTTCTTATCGAATCACCAACGACTGAGATTAATTGTTTCATCATGTGATTGAAGCTCAATCTGTCGACTCTTTCAAAGGAAAGTTGAATCAACTGAGAGACAACTGTTACAATTAGTAACACAATCTATCAAGCCTCCTGTCCTTTCCACACTGAAACTGTTTGTAAGAATTCTACAAACTAAAATCTGATCACATATTGATCTGAAATAAGATGGAGAAGTGAGATCTGTCTTTTCAAACACCTTTGTTTATGACCAACTTCGGAGTTCTGGAACTGTACGACTAGCAGTACTCTGAATGTTTTAGGATGCCCAAGTCACTTTTCAAACACAGGCTTGCAGCCCGAACGCAGGTTGAAATTTTGGATCTTATTATGGGTGTGTATACTGTAGTGAACACGGTGGTATCCAACTTGGTGAACGTTCGTTTTAAAGCCTATTGTGTTCTAAACCCTAGAGCAATGGGCCGTGGTCTTAAGATCATGACTCACTGTGACACCATAGCTCTAGTGAGACCAGACCACGGGTACAGACACTTCTATGCCGTACGTATTTGTCTATGTATCCCCAAAGTACATGTAGACACCAGCCATTTCTTAGACAAGCTAATCCAAATATCTATGCCTGAAGTGCGCATGCATATACGCTTGCTGTTATTTCTCGCCAGATTTTTACATCATCAGCGTATAGTAGCACTGAAGGCCCAACTATATTTGGTAGTTAATTTACATACATTATAAAAGGTAAAGGACATGTGGCGGCCTCGCGGTACTCCACTAAGTACTGGTTTCCAAGTGTAACACTTGAAATTTATTCTTACTGTTTACAACCCACTAGGAAATCCTTAAGCAATTTTAAAAGAGGTCCGGCAATACGAAGAGTTTCTGACTCCAATAGTAGTCTATTTCTTGGCGTCTTGTCAAATGCCTTGCTGAAGTCTGTGTAGACAGCATCCACTGATTTTCTATTGTATAGAGCCTCCATCCATTTCTCCCTTGCTCTGAGAAGGTTTGTTGTGCAAGATAGAACTTTTGTAAAGTGTTATTACTGTTTAACAAGCTTTTGATTTCCACGAATATTATTTTGATATTGGTGAATATTCTTCCTGATATTTTGACTATGACACTAGTGAGGCTGACAGGTCTGTAGTTCTATGAAAGTTGTCTTGGTCCTGTTTTAAGCATTGAAGTGACGATTGCATCCTTCCAGTCTGTAGGTATTCACCCTTACCAAGTGACATATTGAATGTTGTAGTCAATGAGGCTGTAATATATTGTGCACTTTGTCTTGAGGTTTTGGGATGTAGTTCATCCGGTCAAAGTCCATGGTGAGCAGACAGTTTGTTGAATTTGTATTTCGTTCTTGTCCTTCGTTTAGAATAAACTACTGGATGAAAATGCTTCAAAATAGTTTGCCATAGCCTCTACTTTTTGCTGATGATCCTCTATCATTTGATAAACGCCCTCTTCCTCAAATAGTTTAAGAACTTGGTAGTGCATCCTCGTCCTATAATATATGTACAAGAAGAGTCTCTTAAGCTGCTTGATTATAGGTTGTACCAAAGGCTTGTCATATTTTCTTTAAACTGTCCGCATTTTGCTTACACTCTGGTTTAGAAGTGATTTGTAGAGTTCCATTGTATACGCTATGCCAAAGCTCATGTCGACTTTTAAACATTTCTTCGCCTGTTTTAACAAACGCCAAATGTACCGCATTATTTAAGGATGGCTGTACGTTTTCCTCCTTGTTACCGTTCAGCGTATTATTAGTTGAGTTACTTAAGACTAAAAATTACTAGGTTTTCCGACTTCTAGGGTGGTCTCAACGAAAAATTTACATTTACCGCCTGTTGGTAAGTACTTTTTGTTTTAGTAGATGCCTCTTGTTTTATTTGTTGAAAAAACTCGATTCGTTGTTGAATAGGTCTTTATTCAGATTGTGAAACAGAACATGCTAGGCGCGAGGTTCGACTTTCAAGCACGCAAAGTTTTCAAGATTCACTATAAAATACCAAGAAGTATAATGCCAACGAAAAATAAGGAAGTAAATGAATGCAAGAGCATACATCTAAAGATATTAAAACATCTTTAGTCCGAAGGATAAAAGAAAGAATTGTTAATCAATCACCTATATACGTAGCACGATTTTCACAAATAGTGACACATATTCCTTCAGGACTATACGAAAGCTTCTAGAAAAAGACATAAATGGACTGTACGTTTACGTCGCCAAATCGTTCTTTGCACATTTAAAGCCTACTATTCTGTGACCCATATGATTTTTCCACACTACTACTTGACACTTCGCTTATGCTATGATACGATTACATTTTATGTACCAATGACAAATTACAGGTTACCAAATTTATTATAAGGTACATTAAACCGACAATTTTTAGGTGAAATAGCAGCACTTAAAGGTATGCTAAACAAATTTCATATCCCAAATAATTAACAACTTAAACCTTAATTTTTAGATTAAAGCAAGTGTTAAAGAAAAGCATAAGCTTATTTAATCGGTGTTATATGGTAGTTTGTATTGGTGTGATTGCGCTAATAAACTGAGTATGTCTTATTTACTGATTATCAAAATAGATAATTACTATCTATTTCAAATAAAAAAATGATCTTACGCATAATCGCGGGACTAGGGTCAATCTGATTACAAGTAGGCTGAAAGGCAAGATAATCGCAACAAAGTAGATAACTAGGGAAGATTTTCCATCACTTGAAGTACATAAATACCAAAGGAGAATCAAGGACAAAATTTGCGAACTTTGACGGAGACAAGAGAGTTAAATTTAGGATTTTACTAACAGATTGAAAATAAATACAACATATTCCTCAAAAGTAACACTTCTTTAAAAATAAAATCCTCAAGCGTGAGGAATCACAACGTCGTAATTATCGAATATAACCAGGCCGCATGCAAATATAAGATTAATACCGTTGCCAAGCCCACGAAAGGGAGAAAGGTCGAGCATAAGGTCAGCATTCCCATCCAATAGAAAACGACCTTGCTAGAAAAACGTTAACCAGAGTAAATAGTTTAAACTATTTAAACTCTGATCTACTAGTTTAATGACCTTCATTCAGAAGAACTATGACACTTCATTATAAATGCCGAGAGTCATCAAAAGTAACCAGGTCGATGCTCCTTTACAGGTGCACGGAACGTCCGAACAACGTGGAAGATCAGGAAGATCATTCAAATAGCAACGGAAATGAGGAGACACAAGTTGGCAATACTCGAGACCAGCAAAACCCATTGGACACAAGCTGGACAGCAAAGACCAGATACGGGAAAGATGTTGCTGTACGCGGGTTACAAAAAGAAAAATGATCTGCACACTCAGGGAGTGGCTCTGGTGCCAGAATCATCAAAGCATCCTCCAAAACAAATTAAAAGGAAATCGCACTGAGTATTATCTAATGCTATGCACCCGCCAATAATAGCAGTGACGACTGCACAGATCAGTTCTACAAGAGGCTTCAATCGATCATAGAAAAGTGCTCGGGAAAGGACCTGACAATCTTGATGGGGTATCTAAGCGCCCAAGTCAGAATGGACAACAACGGAAATAAAGATATCATGGGATGAAATGGACTGGAAGAAAGGGGTGAAAATGGTGAGAGATTCGCAAATCTATGTGCATTAAACAAATTAATTAAAGGCAGAACAATATTCCCACACAAACGTATCCAAAAACTATATGGGTCTCACCGAACCACATTACAAAAACACAGATAGGTCATATTTGCATCATTAAAAGTTCACAAGGTCAATGGAAGATGCGAGAAACAGTAGAGGGGCTGAAAGTGCCTCGGACCACCTCCTGGTTGTGGCCAATATGAAAATGAAGGCAAAGAAACGGTTGTCAACTGAGGAAACAGCATTGTGAAGGTTTAATACAGTCTTTCTTTGAGATACTAACAAACTTGGGCAATTCAAGATAACTCTCAACAACACGTTCCTTGCTTTACAAGATATACTCAAAGATGTAACTACTATAGAAGACGACTAGAAAAGAATCAAAGAAACGCTAACTTCAACGCGTCAGGAGGTTTGGGACCACAACATGTATCATCATAAGAAATGAATCTCTCTCAAAACCCTGGATGAGATTCAAGAAAAGAAAAACAAGAATACAGAAATTAACAACAGTCGAACAAGAAACGAATAATTAAAGGCACAAATAGAATTCATAGAGGCAAACAAGCAGGTGAAGAAGAACATTAGAGCAGACAAGCAGCAATACATGGAAGAATTAGTCGTTACTAATGGACAAGTATTCATATAGGTGAGAACTCCGGGGGCATGATCGAAGGTTTTGAACTTCGTAATTGAAATCATAAGCTGAATAATGTACAAGGAAATCACCATGCAGCACAAATACTATTAGTATTTAGTTACAGAAATTCGACGAAATGTTGCCGATTACAGTATACGAAAACAGTCGAAATAAAATATTTCAACTAGCTTTTACTATATGACGAACATCTTTGTATTTTCGAACCTACGTATTTAAGTAGAGGCGGAATTCAGTGTAGAAGATATTTGACC